GAGGTCTGGGGGGGCGATACTGGCTATCGGGAACACCTGGACATTCCATTCAAGTGGGCCGATCGCCGAAATGAAGGAGACCTCACTGATATTAGGCGCTGTTTTTAAATTACAGCGCATGCGAAGCCGCATAAAGTTAATACTCTAAAAGCACGAAGCAGCGCTACCCGATGCATCCGCCAGCCACGCGTCAAAGCAGAGCGGGATCAGTCTCCCGCACAGTGCTGACAAACGTGCGCCGTGCTTCTGCTACGATTTATAAGTGATAAATATATTTGCACTGTTGTTTACTTCACTGATTTGCACTCTTATCTGCCATGTGCCTTGTGCTGCTTTATGTATTTTTTTATATGTTTTTTTTACATTTTACCTTATTTGTATATTTGTATAGTTGTATTTTATATTTAATCTGTATCTATCTGTATTTATGTTCTACTGTTAGTGTTATCTGTATGCACCAAGGGTCTGAGAGTAACGCAATTTCAATTCTCTGTGTGTATGTGCTGTACATGTGGAAGAATTGACAATAAAGCAGACTTGACTTGACTTGACTTATGAATGGTGCCTTGATTGCAGATGGCAGGTGTGGGGAATCAGAACTCAGGTGATGGTGATTATGACTGCGAAAAGGTGTGAGCTGGGGAGGATTCTGGGACATGTAGTCCAGAGCTGGTGATTGTGGTGATTCGCTGACATTACTCCCCCCTCCCGGAAGGTGCATCCCGCGCCGTACAACATCCAGCGGGGAGGGGGGTGGGCGCTCTGGAGTTCTCTAGGAGCAGGGTTCCAGGACGGAAGGCCTCCAGGGCGGCACCCGTTCCGGAACCCATGGTGGATCTGGCAGTTCGGGGCGCCATGGCGGAACAGGCAGCTCGGGGAGCCATGGCGGAGCAGGCAGCTCAGAAGGCCACGGCGGATCAGACAGTTCAGGAGGCCACGGCGGATCAGACAGTTCAGGAGGCCACGGCGGAGCAGGGAACTCAGAAGGCCATGGCTGGACGGCTTCTGTGGCCTTGGCCTTGGCCTCGCCACTCGGCCTGGCCACTACAGCTGGGAGCTCAGGACGCCATGGCCGGACAGCCTCCGTGGCCTTGGTCTCACCATTCGGCCTGGCCACTACAGACGGACCCATACTACCCCTCCCCCCCAAAAAAATACTTGGAGAGAATAACAGGCTCTGACGCCCTCTCGGGGCCAAAACCTGGGACTGGAGCCTTCTTTGGGCTTAACTGGGGATCAGGAGCCCTCCCTGGGCTTAACTGGGGATCTGGAGCCCTCCGTGGGCTAAACTCGGGGACTGGTGCCTTCTCTGGGCTAAACTCGGGAACAGGAGCCCTCCGTGGGCTAAACTCGGGAACAGGAGCCCTCCGTGGGCTAAACTCGGGAACAGGAGCCCTCCGTGGGCTAAACTCGGGAACAGGAGCCCTCCGTGGGCTAAACTCGGGAACAGGAGCCCTCCGTGGGCTAAACTCGGGAACAGGAGCCCTCCGTGGGCTAAACTC